CGGGGTCCCCGAGGGGGACGCGGTGGCACCGTGCCCTTACCTTCGGGCAGGTACATGTATACCAGCAGGTTGCGGTCGCGGTCGGACACTGCGGGGACACGGGCGTCACCGCGGGCAGCTGACGGCACCCGGTGTCCCCAGGCTGTCCCCGAGCCCCATGGGGACATGGCGGGACGTACCCAGGAAGCCCAGCTGGGTGCTGTCCACCATGAAGTCCACGCTGTAGACCTCGAGCGGCTTCGCGTCCTGCGGAGGGACACGTGCTCGTCACACACTTCAGGGACACCTGTCCCCACAGCAAAGGGACATCCCCGAAGTGCAGAGATGTCCCCAATGCACAGGCCCGTCCCGGAGGTGCAGAGAGGTCCCAGATGTGCAGGGATGTCCCCAAGGCGCAGGGCTGTGCCCGAGGCTCAGGGCTGCCCCAGGTCACAGGGCTGTCCCCACAGCGCCGGGCCGACTCCAAGGGCCAGGGACATCCTTGCAGGTCCCAGGGCCGGGCCCAGGTCCCAGGGCCATCCCCACACATCACAGGGCCGTTCCCAGGTCCCAGGGCCGTTCCCAGGTCCCAGGGCCGTCCCCGCGTGCCCACCCGGCTGACGAGGGACAGCGTCTTGCTCTCCTCCTGGTAGCGCAGCAGTGAGATGCTCTTCATGACGTCGGCCGCCAGGATGAAGTTCTTGACGCTGATCATGCGGTGGATGTAGAGCTGCGTGTCGATGAAGGCCATGCCCGTCAGCTCGTGGTCCTTGAGGCTCCACAGGAAGATCTGCGGGATGCAGGGGCGTCAGCGCGTCCCGGCGGGAAGAGCCGGCGCTGGGGAGAGCCGGGATGACTCCGGGACCAACCCCGACTCCTCCAGCCCAGCCCGGTGCCCCCGGGGCTCCCCCCGTGCTCCCGTGCCCACCTTCTGGCCAATGGCCGACACGAGGTAGCCGTTGCAGTGGCACAGGGCGGTCACGGGGCCCTTCTGCTCCTTCTCATAGAGCACCTTGAACTTGTTCTTGGTGAGCGGCTGCCCCGGCTCCGGCACCACCTCGATGATGTCCATGATGAGGATCTGCAAGTGGC